CTCCTAAAAAACAAACCAAGACAAACTGCTTAATTAATGAACAATTTGGAAATTTAAGTCTATAATCTGTAAGTGAAAAATATATGCAAGTATCACAAATAATATCACTTGTGAAATGCTCATTATGAACAAAGTTGATTAAAGACTAGCTGTGCCTCTTTTTTAAATACACATTTCAGAAATTCTTGAGTATGTGTGCAAGAAAAGGATATTTCAAGACATATGACTTAAATTTTTTATTGTGCTGTTACTATAGAATTATTTAAAAATTGGTTAATCAGATGTCTTAAATATAAATGAGTAACAACTGATGTTCTGACAACTACTTGAATAAGATCTAAGGTTATTTCTTTATAGATATAGAAAAGCAGCTGCTGATGTTACAGACTCAAGAAATTTACATCAATTCAACCAAGAACATATTTCTAGAAGTCTAGGATTTTATTAACATAATACATAGGCCTGTTGAATGACTAATTTTATTCCATTTCACAGTTCTTTATTATTCAAACTACAATAATTGAAACCAACACCATATTAACCATGAACATTCTTTCCTTTTAAATATATTCTTTTAGAAATTTTAGACAGTTGTGCATTTAAAGCTTGTTTCACAAAGCTTTTAATGATGAACTGCAATAGTGGTTCATAATATGGATCACAAAGAATTGCACAAAACACTAATAGAATGTTCCAGCAAAGAGCACCTTAAATAGTAAAGATTCAGTTCAAACAACACTTTAAAACCTTTACTATTGACTGCTAAGGGTGTACAAAAAAATATGCATGTTAGACTTACAAGGAAAAGAAAATCTGCTCCAAACAGACAGTTGGCAGTTATTATTATTCTCTTGCCAGCCAATAACAAAACTGGCTTGGTATATTGCAGCCAAACCTTTTGTAGAATACTAAATAAGGTGCTGCAAAGGTTGTAGGAGTATTGAAAAGTCGATTTGTTTCTTCTATATTTTACAGAAGCTAAAAATCATCATAATTCTAGCATAAACAATGTTATCACTATCTCTTGAAGTTAGCTTTCTTATAAATATCTGGTGTACCTATAAAAAGCTTAAAACAGGGTGAAACAGGAATTATCAGCCAATAATAGATGAACAGTGCTTTGTACACTATACAATTGGTGTCTTTAGAGAGCCAACCCCTATATTATGTATAAAGTGGAATAAAAAAAAATCAACATACACATTACATTTTATTACATACATTCATAGAATAACTATCTTAAAAGATACAAAAGTTTACTTAAAGTGATGTTTTAGATGTATATGTTTTATTTGAAAAGGCTGCTTTTCTGCTGGTAAAGTTTCATACACACTTAGTTGGAGTTGTGTTAGTCTAGGCATATATTTGTCCATTGATATGCATTACACATAGAGAATTTAGTTACACAGAAGCTACAAATGCTCATTATATTCTCCATCAAATGTGTACATACACAACCTCAACCTAACAAAATAAGGTTCCATAACTTGTCTTTGGCATGAGGAGGTTCAAGATCAAAAAAGATAAAAAACAAATGTATTGTAACGTAAGCATAGTGGTTAGGGCAGGTGGACTGTGTACATATACTCATCATCCCCAACAGTAAGTAAACAGTGTCATATGTCAAGAAACCTGAATTATGAAGAGGAAGTTAGCTTTCAGCCTAAATCGGACAAACTCCCAAAACCACCACAGGAGAAAGAAGTACAACAAACCAAACCTGGCATTACAGAGCTGTGGCATTGCCTCAATTGAACTGTAAGAAAAGGGTAATATCTGTAACTGACATTACAAGCAGAAATCATAAATCTCACAACCATAAATGCAGGGAAGAAACGTCCTGCATCCAGAATTACGAGGAGGACGTGGAACATTCGCTCAACAATAGGAACAGTGTATGTACATTCTGTTGCCTGTATTATAAAGCAGATGAAGTCTCCCAAACATAACCATAGGAGCAGGGAAAGAATCTCCTGCAACCAGAATTAACGAGAAGAGGGGGCCTCTACTGCATATACAGCCATAGGAACAGGTCAGTGTCATCCCAAATATGATATTACAAGGAGGATCCCGCATAGGCTGAACGTGCTCCAACCAACAGCTGTCCACCCGGATAAAAAACATCCAGGGGAATTGGAAGGAGAGAAACCAGCTTTGCCCTCTTCTCACTGAGTGTATAATCATGAGTATGTATTGTAAGTTAAATTTTTATACTCACTCAGGAGGAAGCCTCCACAGTCCACCGCCCCAGCGACTGGGAACTGGTGAGGAGTCCTGTGCTCCATTGGAAGAAAAAAAAAAGGGGGGGGGTCCAGAGAAGCATCACACTGGAGAAAGTGCAATGGATCTCCGTGATTCCCTATTTTGAGATGCAGACTGACCCCAATTTATTCAATCAAAGAGTTCTGCTTTACTCATGAAGTCCATGATCGATGGTCCACTGTTGAGTGAAACTTACTGATATCTAGAAACATATATATACACACACACACACACTACTGGTGTCTTGCAAAACTCTCCATCTCTATAGTGAGCATTACAGTGCAATCATCAGAGCATATCTGACCAGGCAACATTCTCCACAAAATGGGATCCAATTATAGTGGAAAACATAAGGGTTGCTAAAAATAAATGAAAGAAGGAAGTGATAAGACTTACCCCAGTCAAAGGTGAACAGACGTGTAGAATTGCCACAGGAAGGAGACAATATCCACCTGAGGAAGATACAGGCAGATCATGCAGATAATGAACAACAAAGGAATTGGGAGTAGTCCAAACTCTGGCCTGAACAGTCTTCTCCAATGGATGGTGAGGTGAGCAGCTAAAGACATGGGAATTGAGGAATTTGATGAGAAGAAACATTGTAGAGACAAGAAACAAGACCGAATATTTCACCTTAATGAGTTGATGAACCCAACCAGTTAGCGTGACAGGAGATAAATCATAGGAAACAGAATGATTCCAGGGAAGAAAAAATCATGAACATGAACCCCTAAGGGAGGCAGGACGTGCCACATGACAAAGAAGCCAATCAGAATTGGAATGGAACTACTGGTGGGAGATGGAAGTGAAGAAAATGGATGTGAAAGCCAAACAGCCTTCACAGGCAGCATAGGTCTGAGGGACATAAGAGGAATGGTAAAAGAAACAGGTAACATTAAAGGCAGAAATAACTGACTGATGACTTCTGTAAGCAAGGAGAAGAAGGAAATAGGTCTTGAGGGAGAGATGGTAGATGGCACATGAAGACAAAGGATTTCAAAGTAGGATGGTAAAAGCATAAAGGACCATACTGAGATCCCAAACATGCAAATCAAACAAACAAGGAGGATGGATGACTTGAAAGGAGTGGAAAAAGGAAGGAAATGACAGGGGAATACCAAACCAGATGAAACCTGGAGAAACATAGTATTCAACAAGGCTACCCGATCGTTAGACACAGTTGAAGTGGACAAGTCTTTGTCAAACAACCAAGTGAATAATAGGGAAAGAGGATGAACAGAAGGGTGGGAAGGATGGAAACCACATTAAAGATACCAAAGGCAGAAGGTATACCATTGCCTGTGGTAAATGGACATGGAAGAAGGACTAATGAATTGGGAAAGGAAAGATGCAACATGTGGAATCAGTGTCAGGGCTGAGACAATGGACCTGACAAAAGCCATGTGTGAAGACAGAGTGTAGAGACATATGGATGAACAATGTCTGACTGAGTTCAACAGAATAAAGATCGAGACAGAGGTAATGGCAGGGGATGTTTTAGAAGTAAAGGCTGGAGCAGTGGGAACAATGGTTGCACCAGCCAAGATGGAGCCATTAGTAAGATGAGACATGGAGTGGTTTGGAGTAAGGAGAGAACTCTGGAGAGGAGAGGAATAGGAGGGGTAAGCATAGATGTGAAGACCCCTCCATTCTTGACAGAATGTGACCACCCCCAGAGTTAGCAGGTGAGAAATGAAAGACCAAAGTGAAGGTATTTTGTGATCCCATGGGTGGAAGTTATATATGAGGAGTTCCCAGGTGAGAACACACCCACCTACAGACCTGTAAATTGAGGGACCACTCCACGAGGAGAATCTTGTTAAGAAGAGTTAATTAATCCACCACCAGATTGAGGGAGCCAAGAAAAAAGGCAAGAGAAGACCACAATGTGGTGACTTTGGGTTGAGAAAGGAGATCCAGGATCCTAAAGCACAGAGACCTGGAATAAGTACTCCCTTGCTTGGTGATATAAGTGACCACTGTGGAGTTGTCGGAGTGTACCATAACCACCCTCCCCCACAGGAGAGGAAGGAAGTGGGACAAAGCTCAACAAATTGTCATAAGATTTAGAATTTGATATGGAGAGAAGACTCCTCGACTGACCAGAGATAGGTAATCTCCTGAGTGTTGAAGTAAGCCCCACAACCCTTTAAAGATGCTTCCAGGAACTGATATATATATCTGGGCAAAGTGGAGGAAGCAAAACTCCCATAGTGATCAGGTCTCTGTCTAGCCATCAAGCCAGGTCAGCCCTGGTTGGGGAAGGAAGGGTAAAAGGGTGATCCAAGGGATCCCAGTAGAAGCACCACCAATTAAGGAGTGTCCACTGAAGAGAATGCATAAAAGCTCGACCTTTGGGAAAGAGAGCTTCCAAAGAAACTCACATCCCCAAAAGAGATAGAACCTCTCGAGCTGTAAGAGAATGTGAGGTGAGGGCTTC